CCCTGGGGAGGCCCCATCTGGAGCACTGGGTCCAGTTCTGGGCTCCCCAGTTCCAGAAGGACAGCAAAGGGCTACAGAGATGATGAGGGGCCTGGAGCATCTACCTTACGATGAAAGGCTGAGGGACTTGGGGCTTTTTAGTCTGGAGAAGAGAAGGCTGAGGAGGAAATCTGATCAGTGCTGATAAATACTTCAAGGGAGGTTGTCAGGAGGATGGAGCTGGTCTGTTTTTAGTGGTGCCCAGGGACAGGACAAGAGGAAATGGGCACAAACTTGAATGTAAGAAGTTCCACCTAAACTTGAGGACGAACTTCATTACTATGAGGGTGGTAGAGCCCTGGAAGAGGCTGCCCAGGGAGGTAGTGGAGTCTGGAGTCTCCTCTGGAGACATTCCAAACCCACCTGGACACGTTCCTGTGCAACCTGCTCTGGGTGGACCTGCTTTGGCAGGGGGGTTGGACTAGATGATCTCCAGAGGTCCCTTCCAACCCCATGTGATTCTGTGATTCTGACCCATGCAGTGTTTGGGTAGCTGAATATTCACTGGTTCATCACCACGAAGGGCAGCCCACTGGGGTGCAGGGTCAGAGGCTGGGGGTTCAGGGGAAGGTGTGTTCAGCAGTTCCTCAATGAGTGCTGGCTCTCACTGGCCGGGGGTGAGAAGGTTTCCTCCTGATGCCACCACAGCACACCCGGATGGGAGCAGTTGGATGCTCTGATAAAGCAGACAGAGCCAGGAAACCAAGGCTGATGTTTTCACTTCTCTTGCAAAGCAGATGGCTCTCTGGCTGCTGGCTTTCAGAGCGCTGCCCGGATCAATGCAGGAGAAGAGCAGAAGAAGAGCAGACACTGCAGGGTCACAGGTGTGTGCTTACAGCAAGGATCCTCTGCGAGGTTTTCCTACGGGCATTCACCCCTGCTCTCAGCTGACTCTTTAAACCACAGCAGGGCAGGATCTTGCCCTCAGGTGCCTATCACCCGTGTCTGCTGTCCCCCAGCTACTGGTCTTGAGGGTCCCTCTGAGCAGAAGCTAGATTTTAAGCACAGACTCAAATCCCAATAAGTGTAGGCACAGGCTCAGCCACGCTGCTTGGGAGCTCCACTGAAGAAGTATCTGCAGCAGGTCTCCTCGTGGAAAAGATGCCGCACCATAATGTCTCGTCTTGTCCCAAGGGAAATGCAAAGCAATCAAGCCATTTAAGAATATATTTCAAGCTCTTCATAGCAGGTGTTAGACGCTGTTCTCCGGCTGCTGACAGGAAATGTGTGTGCAATTCTCCTAGGTACCAGGCTCAGAATATGCTTCTTAAGGGCTCGCTGCTTAAAAAATTCTGCAAAGTGTAAATAGCTCTCATAAAATCAGGTAGTAAATCGTCTTATCTGTTTGTCCTGAAAGTGCTCAGCCAGCTGGGTCTTTACCGCATGTGGGAGCCAGCCAGCCAACACATCACGGGGTCGTAATGAGACATTGGGAGGAACAGACAAATCCAGACTAGGAGCCCATCTTAGGAAAAGTTTCTAAAGAAAAAACTGAGTTCAAAGTCCCATCAGCTAAGAAAAAAAAATAAAATTAAAAGAGGAAATCCGCATTTCTGCAGAGGCCATGGAGAAGCAGTTCTCACACCTACCTCTGCCATCCTGGCCATGGGATGCTGAGCAAACATAAGCCAGTAGCTCGGGATGTGTTCTCCTGGGGGAAAAAACCTTTCCCTCCATGTCAACACTGAAGCACTCCCTTCTGCTACCCATCAAGGGCAAAAAAAAAAAAAAAAAAAAAATGAAAAGAAAACCCATCTAGAGTTAAAGAGAATTTTAAAGCTTCTTTTTCCTCCTGTTCCCAGAATAAAGGTAATTGCCTAACAAAAGCCTCTGCAAAGGAATGACAGTGGTCCTGTGCAGGATGACAGTGGGAGAGAGGTCTCTGACTCCATGCACTGCCCGGTCCAACCCCCCCCCCACACACCACCCCTTCCCCAAAGCTCCTGCCAGGAGGGCTGGCCTCGGTGGAGACCCTCACTGGGGACACCCCCCTGAATAGGGGCTGTCAGTGAGGGTGATGGAGGCACCGCAAGTGCAAGGCAGGAGGGAGGGGACGGCAAAGGGGGTGACCCCGCGGGAGCATCTGTTGAGAGCCGGGACATATGGAGTCTTTATTTCTCCTTGTGGAGGCACGAGCTTTTTTTCCTCACCTTCTGCCATCCTCCCATTGTGCAAGGCAGTGGCGACCGGCTCTGGGGACAGCTGCTACCTCTAAACTGCCTCCTCGGGGGACACCACAAAGGGCCCTATCCCAGTCCCCTGCCTGAATCACCTCCCTCATCAATCAGGCAGGCAGAGCATGCCAGGAGGGGTGATGGATACCTTGGGTCTGGTTACCGGGAGACAAGGATGGGGAACTTGAGACCTTTTTTTTCTTTTTCCTTTTTTTTTTTTAAAAAAAAAAAGAAAAAAGAAAAAAATCTGGTGGGCTGCACCTTCTGTGAAAGAGAAAACCACCCTCCCTTTGAATATCTGTGAATTTTGAAATATGGATATTTAAAGATGTGGAGGAAAAAAGTAGTCATCCAGAGCTAATTATACAGCTGTTGAAAAGCCCAGTAAATATGTTACTCAGGGATATATAATACCTTTGATGTAGTTGTAATCCGACTGAAGTTATTATAGGTTTTCACAGCTGCAAAGCAATCCAGCTTAGGAAGGCTTTTTTTTCTTTTTTTTTTAATTTGTAGAGGCAGAAAAGAAATTCTGCTGCCGAAGCAAAATGAAGATCCTCATACAAACACAGTAACACAGCCTAAGAAAAATTATACTGATGCTGAGGAGTATTAACCTGTCCCAAAGCTTAAAAGAGTTTACGGGGTAATAAACAGCGTCAGTAAATCCAAAAGGGCTGGATTTCAGAAGGGCTTTTCTTTAAGACAATTAAAGCTTTAAATAAAAGTATGACTTTGCAGTTGGGAATTCTTTATTCCCTTCAAACCAACAATAAGTATAAGCTGTAAATGCTCTGAAAAAAAATATGTACTGAGGCATGAAATACAGGAAGGCTGCTAGTAAACCTCCAACGTGTTCATTTAAATTGATCATGGAAGCAATAATATCACGAGGCTTTGTAAATGGATGGGTTAAAAGCTGGAACTTTATCGCTGTTTTCATTCCCCAGGGCCCTGTGGTAAAACAAGTCTCCACGCAAGACCTCAAGGCACTGAATGAATTATTCACTCAGTTATGGGTCATTAAATGAGGCTGAGCGAGGGCCGGTGTCCATTATGACACTGTGATGTATGAAGAAAGGCTTATTTCGTGGAGATTGGCATGGGCATACTCCCAGGATGCCCAGTCATTCCCACCACAGCTTCTTCTGAACTCCTCTGGCCGAGGGAGGAGGTCGTGAAGCAGCAGTACAGCTGCACAAAATAGGATAAAAGAGGCCTGAGGTTAAACCACAGGTAAAAGAGAAGCTAAGCACGTTCAGATGCTAATTGCAGAGATGTCTATGCTGGTTTTGAGCTGCTATTTTGTCACCTTTCTGCTGGAGACTGCATCCCCCAGCGGCAGCGCAGCCCGCCCTGGGTCAGCATCTCCTCTCCCAGGCAGTTGCACCGTAACCCACCACTGGACACTCTTGATTTCATCCTGAATAAATGCGTTCACCGTTTTAGCAACTTTTAGTAACCTTTTGGCAATTTTTAAACCAAACTCAAAATAGACTAAAGTAAGCTTTTAACAAAGTTTTCCCATACAACGTCACTCTCCATTAATAAAATCAGGACAGCTTCTCCACGGTGTCCAGAAGTGCTGAAATACAGTTGTTCCCCTGGACTCACTTACTCCTTGAAAAAAAGGAGCTTTTTTTTTTTTTTCTGAGGTCAGGAAAAGAGATGCTGTTATCTAAGTGGTCCACATTTCTGGTGAGAGACAGGATCATGGTGAGGACACACCATCCTCTGGGGCTGGAAAGCCAGCGCATCCCGTAATCCAGCACTATCTTGTATGATCAGAGGCAGATAGGTAAACATGGCCTCGTTTGAACATAGTCTTTAAGGTAATTATTTAGCCAAACTTTTAATTTAGAACCGGGCAAAAAATTCACTTAAAACTACTGGGGCCTTTATAATCCAAAAAAAAAAAAAAAAAAGGGGGTATATTTTTGTTGACCTAAACGTTTTGGTAGTTATCTTGATATCTTCATGCTGGTTTAGTTGAAAAAAGCCCCTAGCATTTCTCATCGACATTCTCTAAATGAAATATGATGGCTTTTCAGTTGAAATGACCTTCTGCTTAGAAATTCAAAAGAAAAACATTTCACAAATCCTCAAAAACAAACCAAAAAGGTGGTGAGTCCTAACTGCTTTCCTCCCACTCTTTCAGAGCTGTCAGAAAAGCAACAGGGAAAAAAAATAGGGGAAAAGAAAAAAAAAAAAAAAGAAAAGGTTATTATCATAGCCACATTTCTTGTTGCTTACTCAAGCAAAATTCCCAATAGTTCAAATCCCAAGGCCCCCTTTCAGTTTTCAGTCAGACAAAGAGACATCCACTGAAGTTAATGAGAAAGCATCCAAAATACAAGTGAAAACTGAGAAAGGACTTCAGGACTTGTCTTAATGACTTAAAAAGACTGTACTCTGAGTAAGGAGGTATTTGTAATGAAGTGTAAGCCCAAGATGCAGCAAATGCAATTTAACCTGCTGTATTGCTTTTCTTAGTATTACTTTTTTTTTTAATGTTCTTGTTGAGCTCGACATACACAACTGGTCTCAAGGGGTGAGGAGGGAATAGCTGTTCTCTAATACAGTCTTTCATTTCCGAGCCCTCAGATCAAGCCCTTCAGGACACTAATTATCCAAAGTTGTTATCATCTGACAGCTGTCAATGGCCTCTGCGAAAATGAGGTGGCGGTGGCAGCCGCGCTCCCAGTGGGCATGTGTCAGCATCGTACAAACACTACTGCAGTTTGCCTGGTATTTTTGTTGGCAGCCCGAGCGTTTATGGAAACAAACCTGTCTTCTCCCTCCTAGCGGGAGCTGCTGCTCTTCACATGGAAAAGAAAGGGGTGGATCCCTGAAGCGCGTCCCTCCGGTGTTCATGCTGGTGGTGGATCACTGAAGGGCACGTCACTCTGGTGTTAATGCTGCAGGTCATCTCTAGTTGATCTTCAGGCTCCGGAGATGTCATCTGGACACGCTTCAGGGACACTGACTCCAGGGAGGAAGGTTAATTCAGTAGTTAGCACACTAGCAGATGCGTTATGGACATGCTCATGTTCCCCTGGGCCCTCATGTAGGACTTTGATCCATTTAGCCTCTTGCGCCCCAATTAGTACAGGGTCAGGTACATAGCTCAGCTCAAGAGGCAGGCAATGGACTTGCACTTCTCCTCTATTCCATCCTACCACTAAAACAAAGTGTCTTTGTCCTGCGATGGGTTGGGAGACCACAGCCCTACAACCCAGCACCAGCTTCAGAGGGAAAGGGGCTGTAAGCAACACTGTCTCTTAGCCTCGTTGCCAAAATTTCTCTATTTATCACTTCTCGTGCTTCACAATTAGCCAGGAACAGATTCACCAGCCTTTCCTACACCAAATCTGGACAGCTCTGCCTGGGCAAGGTGGTACCAGAGCCTTGCTGGATCACCTCCCCTCCAACCACTGGGCATCTGACACCTGCAAACAGGCATATTGAGACTAAATCCGACAGGCAGCACCCAAAAAGAGAACGTTAATCAATTGCTTGGGGGTGGGAACAGAACTAACCAGACACCGTTTCCCTTGGGTTTGTATCCTCTGCCCTCCAGCCAGCACAATCACGACTTCTCCTTATAATCTCCAATCCTAAGAAGCAGCAATTCCAAGGTGGTGCATACTGGCCAGGGCTGCTGCCCTCCAGGTGTCCTCTGGCTAGGAACTGGTACCTCCTTTCTCTCTGTGGGGCTTTAATTTCAGAGGTCTCTCCTCCAATAGCTGCCGGTTTTCACTCAGCTTCTCAGACCTTTGAAATTCCAGGTGAGGGGGTGCCTTTTTCCAGAATCACTTGTCCCCATGAGAATGAGAGATTTCCCAAAGCAAAAGAGGACAGGCATGCAAGGTCAGTCCCGTAGCCTGATGCTTATGGCATTCAGCCAGCCCAGGTGGGTCTCGTTTCTGTTCCCTGCCTTGGACGTGTTTTCCATCTTTTATCCCATTTCTGCTGTGCAAACAGTAGGGTTGCACCACCCACAGGAGGTGCCCCAGTAGGCACAGTGGGGCTTAACCCCCCCTTTCCAGAGCCATGCCTGTACGAAATTATTGCTCAGGTGAATTAAGGTGGTTAAAATCCTTCTCCTAATGGCCCCGTCATCAGGACACGAGCCTCCCTCAGGAGGGAGGTTGTGAGAATGAGGCTCAATTAATGGGTCATCCATGTGCTACAACAGTGTAGAGCATACACAGGTAGTTAAACGACAGAAAATCAGGCAGGGTAAAATGAGTAATAAGAAGTAAGTTACTGCCTCCTCTTTCTGTAACACCTCTCCCACTTCATTAGATAGAATTTCACTCCTCTGAATATAACAAACTGGGCCAAAAATTCCTGGCATAACTCAGTCATCCCACTAGCTGTTATGAGTAACTGAAGGAAATCTAATTTGCTTCTTTTCTAGAACTCGCACTGGAGGAGTAAAATTCAAGAAAGGGGGTAAGAAAAAATATTGTGTAATATAACATGATTTATGTACATGTCTTAGGCAGATAATTCAGGCTGAATGATGCTTAAAAGGCTATTATAGACTTGCTTGCAGCAATGAAATAGCCTGTACTGCTATAAAATGCCTGCCCAGGGCACTTCAGTGAGTTTGGGATTCTCTTCCTAGATTAGTCAGGGGAAATAGCTGAAGTCTTTGATAATGCAACCTTCTCTTTTTGATTGTGCTGGAACAACTCTATGCTGTTAGCATGAGGCTGCTGGAGAGGACTGAAACATACATTTTTAAACATGCAATTGTTTTTAAAAGTATTAGCTCTTCTCCACACTGAAATGTTGGGAGATCTTCCATTAGGCCAGTTGGTTATAATAGCCACCCAAATACTTCATATATTTCTTAGACCCACGCTGCGATGGGTAAAGTCTCTCTCCCAGGGACTGAAAGTCTATTCATTTCTAATGTGCAGAAATGATCCGAAATTCTTCTTTTCAGTCAGAAAATGCTGATTCAAGAAAACAAACTCCTTTGGCAGGAACTCATTGCTTGTGAGAGTCCTGTTGGGAGATGCCTCTGAGCTGCAGGAAAAGACCCAAAAAGGGAGATGGGCACATGGAGAGGCATCTGCCCGGCCGTAGCACCCAGTCACAGCACCCGCTGGAGAGGGTGTTTTTCACTAATTCTGTGTGAAGGAGCAAACATCACCCAAGCCCAAAGTTGCACTGCAGCCCACAAACCTGCCACAAACCTAGCACACATCTTACTTCTGCATGGAAGGAGAAAATACTGGAGACTCAGGAAAGTCCCATGGCATGGGAACATCATTTGCCACTTAGCTCAGATAAAGGGTTTCTAAAAGCCAGCGCTCTCCTTGTCAGGCACAGGGACTGAGACAAGCATAAGATGTTAATTATTAACACCCTGAAGTCCAAAAACTCCAGAGATGTGGCAGAGGGGTTCTTGCCAGGTACAAAAACCAGGATAGCATACAGCCATAGCCAAAGGAAACACCATAAATTGAAACGCTGGCATATAAACCGTACAGTGCAGGTGTTATTTAGAGACACCATTTTTAAAGGCCCCTTTAAAAGCTCCGGCACAATCTTTTTTTACACCCAAAAGGTGGCATATTCAATTTTTCTCCTCCATTTTTAGCACTCGGCTTTTATGTAGATAACATTTGGATGAGTCAAAGTGGAAGGGAAGCTGCAAGCTTTTTAGTCCCATGAAATCCGAGGTGCAGAAGAAGATGTCCATAGGACTTCTCAACCACTTCTCCATTTTCTTGATTGAGCCCACCCCTTGAAAAGAAAAATAACTTGGGGGGAGGAGGGGAGGCGGCAAGGCAAAGGAACAGCTGTGTTTAACTGGTGGCTTCAGTCTGCAGCTCGATTTCCTTGCAGGCTTTTAAAAGGAGTATCTGTGTTTAGTCTAATGGAAAGCGGCTGTCCGAAGGTGCTCACTGCTCCTATAACATTTTCACAGACACAGTGCTCGGCCCCATCTGGCTGGGTTACTGATGATGTCATTTCACACAGCATTGACCAAAACACTGTCAAGCACATTTTTTTATCTTTTTTTAGCTCTTCCTTCATTTCAAGGAAATGCAAACTAGCAAATAGCACACGCCTGCCCCATGCTGTGCCCTACGGAGGAGGATTTCCAGATTGCAGATTTGTTTGTTTGGACGGGAAGGCTTTTTGGCCTGCCCTGGGGAAATTGCCATCTGCAGGTAGGTTCAGTGAGAAGTCAATACCCATAGGCCAAGAACATTCAGCTTTTTAATGAGCTTTACAGACAGGTGGCATTGGGCAGAAAGACTGAATTTGCAGAAGCTGGTACAGGTCAAGGAAGAGAGAGACGTAAGGAGCAGCAGAAAGATAGGACTGTAAAACTTTAAGGATGCTGTCAAAACGTGAGTTTTCTTTCTCTTTGCCACCAAAAAAAAAATAATACTCTGTAGTATTTCATGGACTACCTGGTCTAGTTGGGGGTGTCCCTGCTGACTGTGGTGAGGTCGGACTAGATGACCTTTGGAGGTCCCTTCCGGCCTGGACAATTCTATGATTCTAGTCCTCTCTTGGTCACTGATTGCTTGGATTCGGCTTCAATAAATTACTTGTAGCAAAAGTAGGTGCCTTTCATGCCTCTTTCCTTCACTGCCTCTCCAAAGGCATGGGTTGCTGACAGCTGTCCAGGGCCAGCCTTGCCTTCACAACACAATTCAGCAGACTTAAGCCTTCATTTTGAAATGTGGAAGCTCCCAAGTTGACTGGAGCTGCCAGGGTCTCCCGGCTGGACTAGAGCCCTGGGTACTGGGCTCAAGAGCTGGATGGTGCAAGGTGCAGCCCGCCTGTCCCAAAGTGGACATATAATGGCAAGGGATGCACAGGGGACACCTTGCACCAGGGCTGCCCTATGAAAACCCTTCGTTCACAAATGTCTCACAATGCCTGCCCTAAATTTGACATGGAGGGGACCGTGGCCTGGAGCTGGCCCTTGGCACCACACTTGCCACCACCCTTTTACGCAGAACAGGGAATCAACAAGAGCCAAGTGGGCAACTATCTTGAGAGATCAAAGGCACCTCAACCAAAGGTTCAAAAAAAAGGAAAAAAAAGTGCAGAAAGCACTGAATTGCTGTCTGGCGCTTTCATTCGTGCCACTGGGGTGCCCAGTCTGGCTAAAAGGCTTTGTATAAAAGGTCATCCACGAAGTCGGCCACCAGCACGGTGCCTGGATGCACCGCGCTCTGCTGACCCCAACGTGCTGGAGCAAGACCGCGGGCTGCAAAATGAGATGTGTATTTTGAAAGGTTAACCCCTGTGAGATGATTTCAAAATAAACAACCGCCTCCCTCAAAGGCTTTCTGGGAAAGCACCCGGCAAACAAGCCCAGGCAGGTACCACGGAGGGGAGCCAGCTACATGACAAAACAGTCACAAAGCAGCACCTGCGACCACAAGCACGGGCGCGCATCGCACTTGAACCTAGGGAGAAATCAGCCCTGGCGTAAAAAGATCTTCTAGATCCTACCGAAGGTCAAATTCTGCAAACCTGTCCGCAACCAAGCAAGGCACACCTCCGAGAAGGGGAATTTTTTCCCTGAGTCAATGGCCACTTTTTCCCCTGTAACTGCCCCACAGGGTATTAGTAAATTCTGCACTAGCGAAAAGACTCAGCAGCCTTTCAAAAAGGAAAAACAAGAGTTCAGTACTTGGTAAGTCCACCTGAGATGATTGGACATTTTGAGGTGCATTACCACCAGTCTTAGAACTCTCGAGTGATGTTTGAGCACTTGGGCTTACCTCAAGTATATTTCTTATACTGCATGCTCCCCTTTCTCACCGTATGTATTCTGTAGAGGTTTCTTCCATTTTTTTCACTGTTGTTTTCTATCTTTTTAACCTTTGAAAAAATCACTGTTATGAAGGTTGTTGGAGAGACACCCTCAACGGTTTATAAAACCGTTATATTTTTTATAAAAACCTCAACGGTTCTTATAAAACATGTTAATCTTCCCAT